AATAAAGGCTTTCAATTCAATTTATGACGTTTTGAGGCCAAGTCTGCTCTTTGTCAGAAACAAAACACTTAAATAAAGTAAATAAAGTGCTGTAAGGCCTTTAGGAGATACATTGTTTTGTCTATAGTCCCCCATCTAAGTGCTGTTAACTAATCAATGACCATTCTGTAGAGGTTCGTAGGCGAGGCTCCAAAGACCTCCTGAAAGTGTGTGTTCTGCTGGACCGAGGCCAGAGAGAGAGGAAGGAAGAAGAGGGAAAGCCCACCCCTCCAAATATCTACGACACGCCATATGAGGGAGGGCTGGAAGGCGACCGTGAGGGCGTGTGGATCCCTGTCACACGGCCAGAGTCTGATGTCCGTCCCGCTGGAGAGTACGAACTGCCCTGGGAGTGGAGAAAGGAGGACATTGTCAGAGCGCTGTCAGGTAGAGAAAGAGAGAGAGGGATGATGGGAAGGGTGGGGGTTTAGGGTGTGGAGGAAGGATGCCATGAGTTTTATTTGTACAGTAATGACACAACAATTTTGTGTTTGCTTTAGAAAGGAAACAAAACAATTCTGCTGAATCAATTTCCAGAGACGTGTTTACTTTGGTAGCTCTGGCATGCTTTGATAGAGTTTTATTATGAAAGGTTGATATTGTCTGTCCTGCTTCCTTCAGCTCAGTTTGAGGCAGTGGATTGTTCTCCCAGTAAAGAGAACGGTTCAACCTCCGGCCGCCAGCAGCAGCAGCAGCAGCACAACAACAACAACAACAACACACCCTGAGGCAGAAGAACTGGAACCTTAAAACACTTGTACCATCTTCTCCATCCTCCTCTTCTTCTCCCTCCTTTCCCTCCTCTCCTATTCTCAAACTCTCCCCTCTCACACCACCATCTCCCTCTTTCCCCACTCTCAAACTCTCACCAATCTCACCCTCTTCTAATCCTAACAAACTATCCCCTCCATCTCCTACCTCCCCGAATACCCCACTGGATGGGGAGGCAGCCAAAGTGGACCCCAGCCTACCCCTGGAGAAGCAGAGGTAAGAAGGGAGATGAAATAAATCCAGAGGAGAGTGCTAGGGAGGAGAGAAATGTTTGATACATTTTAGTAAGGGAAAAATAAGAAAGCACACTGAATTATAGCTCCTAGGCTTTATTGGACTGAAACAGATAATATTTCAACCCCATAAGTGTCATAATCAGGCAAAAGTAAAGTATCAACTGAATTTATTACATCATGCTGAAAATCATAACAAGACAAGATACAGTACATTGTCAAAAATAAAATAGTTGGAAAAACAGGTCAGTAGTAATCCCATATAATGATAAAGAAAAGATTTGATATTAAAAAATATGACATTGTACAAGATTCAATACACCTTAGCGACTAGAAAATAATATGTATAAGGATTGGCATCGTCCAAAGACATGCAAGTCAGGTGAATCTAAAGCATTATTCTTTCTGTTTAGTTTAGTTTAAAGTTTGAAGAGTGAATGTCACTTCCTGGCCCCCTTCTGCTCTCTGTATTTCTCTGCTTGCATTTGTTATGACAGTAAAAAATTAAAAAGAAAATTCTTTGGCTTTTGTGAGAAAATCTTGAAGAACAGCGCCCTCCTCAGTTTGGCTCAAAATCAGTTTCCCTGAGTAAAAGTTGTAAAGCTATCAAGCAGATTTCCTTCAACATCTGATCTGGTGACTCACAATGTCAAATACACTGCAGAGGCTGCCAGTCTTCTTTGCCAAAAACTCACATATATTTTATGCTTGGCACTTTTTGACATTTTTAAGTGAAATTTGGCATTTATCACTGAGAACATAAGCCAGCTGCAGGCCTTGAGGACACTCTTGTGATAAGATGCTGAACATAAACGCTGGAGGGAAGTGTACCCTTGAGGTGAGGCTTGAATAGATAGGACAGACTGATTTTAGCATGGCTTTTCATTTGGGGAACATGATCAGAGCATGTTAGCCTTTGACCCTCTCATGTTGTGGCTGAATGTGTTTTGCCTCCGAGCATCAAGGCCACATACAGCCTGTTTATATATGGCTCTAACCTGTGGCCACTGTCAGCACCACCTTGTGTCCAAACAGGCCTTCCCTCGACACTTCGCACAGCCACATACATTATGTTTGTTCATGTTATTTATCTTTTCGCCCTCCCAAGTTCACCTTTGACATTGTTAACTCATTCAGTCCACAATATACGTATATCTGTCTGATTTATTACGACAGTAAATCTTTGTTGGTGTCGATGCGTTTCCTTCCTCCCGTCAGTCTCTTTCTGTTCTTCCTCTCTCTCGCCATCATCGCCTATCATTAACTTGACATCTGACTTGTCTCCATATGTCACAGCGCTATATGTCAGTGATCTGCTATCTCTCTTTGCATCTCCCCCTCCCCCTCTCCCCCCCTCTCTCTTGCCTCCCCAAGCTGGTACCATGGCAGTGTGAGTCGGCAGCAGGCTGAGGCTCAGCTGCAGCGCTGCAGGGAAGCCAGCTTCCTGGTGAGAGACAGCGAATCAGGGACCAGCAAGTACTCCATCGCTCTGAAGTGAGTGTGCCGATGTGTTTGTGTATTCCCTTTGAGTGTGCGTGTGTTTGTTGAATACGGTACATGCATGCTATATAATGCAACATGTACATATTTATTTATAGAGCTATTTTTATCTACTTTTGTTGTGCTGCATCACAATCTCAGTCGTTCTTTGGAGTTACAGCATGACTATGGGAGACGTGCTTGAACATAAAATCTGCTTTTCTCTTTAACATTACTTTTACAAAACTTTCATAATTCCACATGTCAATAGTGATTGAGCCTATGTTTGGCTATTTTTAAGGACCTACCAAAGAGCTAGCATCGTGGTGGCAGCCTCTACGGTGTTAATGCATGATAAAGTGTGTAATTTGTAGAGGAGAACACTACTTATAAGCGTGCCAGAAACAGGTTCTCTAGGATAAAGGCTGAAATTCTGTGGTGCAAGCTTGTGTGTGTGTGCGCGTGTGTGTGTGTGTGTGTATGCGCCTGAGTGCACATTTGTTGTATGCTGCTCATTCATTTGAGAGTTCACATCATTAACCCCATTTACACATCCACTGAACTCGGAATATGCACAGCCTCATTCGGGTAGATATACATCTGCATAATGTTTCCAATCTTAAGCATCTTATAACTCTTAGCTGTAAATGTTGCTGTGTGTGTCTTTTACATGCAAATCTGACAATACGTCTTTGTTTTGTGTGTCTTTTACATGCAAATCTGACAATACGCCTTTGTTTTGTGTGTCTTTCGCTCTGTCTTGTTCCATTAGGACCAGTCAGAGTTGTGTGCACATCATTGTGGCCCAGACTAAGAGCGTTAAGGGCTTGGGCTTCACCCTGGATCAGAGTAGCTGTGTCTTCTCCAGTATCCCTGAGCTGGTGCATCACTACTGCACACACAGACTGCCTTTCACTGGAGCAGAGCACATGACCCTGCAGCATTCTGTGCCCAGGCCACACTGAACATGCGTAAAAAGGACAAACAAACACACTGGGACATAAATACACATGCGCGGAGGCATGTATTACACATTTATGCACAAATGCACACAGACACATACATTAACTTGTTAATACATGAGTGTACGCACATACGCAAAGGCATGCTGCTTTGGATTTGTCACTGTGCACAACCTTAATAAGTTTATGTTTGTATCTCTTCCAATGCGCAACCTAGTGGTCAAAGTCATACATTACAATAACCATTTATCACATTGTTATAGTGCTAATTGTTTCCAAACTAAAAATCCACAAAACACACAACCTACTGAATGTACCATCACTTCTGCTACAGCCTGGTGTATTTGCCCCATTGTTTTGTCCATTGATCCTTCACAAACCATACTCAGTACAACGCAAACCAAATAGATTTCTGTAATACCTGAAGCAATGCACATGAAGCACTGCATTTACTATAACCAATCTGATATTTAAACCAAGTGGAGAGGTTTATAATCTCGTCATGGGATGCCCTTACACTGAGGTGCTGACATCATCTATTAGCACCGTGCCATCTAGTTAGGTGTGGTCTGTGAGATCAATACACTTGATTGAAGTATATTCATTCATCCATCTAACATGTCAATCAGCCTATTGATCTATTCTGAAAATCAGGCTCATTTGCCAACCACTCTGTCTGTCAGGAGAAAAAGCTATATTGATTAGATGATTAGAATTAGTGTAGTGGGAGGGGTCTTATAACAGTACAGTGCCCTGTCAGCAAAATGTTACAAGTGTTTGTAAGTGTGGAAAATAAATGTGAGTCATCATGTCCATGCACGTGCCTTCACTGTAATCTAAAGGTTATGTTACTTTATTGTGAATGAACTGACCTTTGCCCTAAAATGTACCTATGCCTAAATGATGTACGTATGAAGTGATTGTTGTATATTGTCAGATTCTTTTTTTGCATCAACCACACAGTGATGTGGGCTGTATATTATTGTTGTAAGACGTTTATTCAATAAATAAAATAAAATTCATATTAACTGTAGAAAAACTAGTTTATTTAAATGTGCCAGCAGTAAAATAAAGTCAAAGCAGTTCAAGTAAAAAAGGCAGTGAAACAGAGATGAGACGCTAACTAGAGTGAATCTGTGTGCTTTTCTCTTGTAGCTGTAAAATCATTGACCTGAGTGTGAAATCAATTACAGTTACACACACATGCAGCCTCATGCATGCGCACACACCTATTTGTGTTCAACAAATGCAGACAAACACAAGCACACACATGAGCACACATACATAAATAGTGTACAGCATTTACTCACACAACCCAAAAGGTATTTAAATCCTCGCCAACACACCAATGAAGAGTCTCACAAAATGCAGAGGGGCTTTATCCTCACAATGATGCATGGCAGCGTGTGTTTGCAGAAAGATATCTTACCAGTAAACACCAGTGTATTGGTTTGCATGACTTAGAGAGTGTGTACGTGTGTGTGTGCAAGCCCATGTGTGCACCCATGTGTGCATTTATGCGTGTGTGCTTGTAGTCCTGTTATGTGTGTGTGTGTGTGTGTGTGAGGGAGAGATATAGAGAGCGGGAGTCAGAATTTTCCTGTTCAGGGATTACCAGGTTGCCATGGTGATTAGTTAGAGTGAGGTAGGGCCATTTCTACAGGGAATGAGGAGAGGGAGGAGAGAGGGAGACAAAGAGGGAGGAGAGACAGGCAGCAATATAAAAAGAGCTATGAATAACCCTGGCCATAGTGCCATAGTAGCAATGTAGCTCCCCCACAGAAGAGCCTGCATGGTTTGTGAATGGAGAGCAGCAACATGTAATGTCAGAGCAGTGCCAGAAATTAGTGAGTAAAAAGTGATTCACTCCTCCTTACTGTCAGCTTACGAAGCAGAAACTGTAGTGCTTAACTGACGGTGTGTCACCTCCTCAATAAGTCAGAGTGCAGCAGGGTCAACTCCAGAACGAGTCTTGCTCAAAGACTCTTCAGCAAGGCAGATGCCTCTTGAACCCAGGCCATTACGGTTGAAGAGCCATCCCTAATCTTGGCCATCCTGCTACCCAGCGTGTCACAAATGGGCAATGTTACACAACAGCAGACACCACTAATTATCACCCCTCCCTCCATCCGTGTGATCTGTTTTGGTAAGTCCTCTATGTTCTCTTAATTAAATCACAAAGTAGGTCGAAACAAACAAGAGGCCCGGGGTGCTGGACACATGATTCTTGCAGTGGTTGTCAGTCTGTTTTGGGGAATGTTGCATTCAAGTCTACAATCTTCAATGCTTGTTTGAGTTTTCTTGCTCTTTCATATATCATCGTTGTTTCTTTATGGGCTGAGAAAATGATTATACTTCTTAAAGCTAAATAAACAATAAAAAAGAAAAACGAAGGGGGATCTGAAAACTGCATCGTCACATAACTGAAAATGGCCATTTTTCATAGCTCAAGGCATTTTTGAGAAACGTGGTTTTCACGGGACAGTGATGCATAATTTCTATCAGCTGCACTCTGGATATGAGTTTATAAAGTATCAGTAGTGGAAGAAGGTCGCCACCATGTTTCTATAGTCGCCCAGAACGGACAAATCAAACACTGGCTCTTGATAGAACAGTTGGCGCTTTTCGTAGATTCTCCTTCATGCTTGGATGGGGAGAGTGAAACGAGGGAGTTGCAATCTGCAACTGCTAGATGCCATTTAATCCTACACACTGGTCCTTTAGGAATCATCAAGAAAATACAAGCTGGTGGCACAAATGGTGTTATAATTGGAGATTTTTCCTATTTGAATGATATGATAATAAAGGATTTTTCCACTGATTCCTCCACTCTGAAGCAGGACTAGTGACTAGAGTCATCAAACCCTCAGTGATACATGCTCCATTTCAACCCCCTAACACAGAGACCGCTGTTGCTACGGCAGCAAGCTGAAATCAAAGCGGTTTCTATTGTTGATTCTCCCAGGGGGTTCAGTGGTTCGCTTCTCTGATGTTTCTCCTGTCATCATCATCATCACCACCAGAGACCCCACCACCACTACTGCCCTTTAACGCAAGCGCACAAACACGCACAGATGCAACAGCCCAGGCAAAATCAAGCTTATGTGCTTGAAAGTGTGTAAGCGCACACATATACACTCACACATTAAGACACTCACCTCTGGGAATAATGATCATGAAAGAGATACAATGTGGAACTGCAAGGGCTGTTTGTGTTGCACAGTAGCTTTGATGTTAAATTGAGGAAAAAAGGGGAACACAGAGTGAGAAAGTGACATCTTCATACTGGATGGCAACCCCTTAAGCAGTGTTAAGAAGATGATCCCACTTCCCTGAACCGTTTACATCTTAAGAATGCTTCATATATTTTCTGTGTGTGTGTGTGTGTGTTTGTGTTTTGTCACTCTTGGAAGGTGGGATTTTTCATTTTTTTTTTTTTTTTTTTGCACAGCCAATCATAATGTGCTGAATTCAGAGAATGAAGTCGCAGCTCTAACGAACATTTTGGATCAAAGCTGTGTAAATATAGAGCATCATCCAGTGAGTTATAATACCACAATAATTCTGACTTAATCTTTCCATGCCCACAATTTCATTACTTCCCTAAGTACAGTTCCTGAGGACATTCTCTTAAAGTAATCACAGTCTAAGTAATCCGATCCCTGGAGGGGCGGCTGCCAATTTTCACCTTTTCTTCAGGGAAGTCCATGACCTGCGATTTAAGGAGTCACATGAACGCGGATCAAATATGACACCACAGTCTGTCTATGGTTGTTATTTACAAAGGCTCTTCCTGAGAAGATATGGCACTGTTCTCAAGCTCAAACCAACTGCTCACATTTCAGATCTAATAATGATACCATCACGTGCTAGTAACCCCCGAGGATCAATTAAAACCCAATTAACAGGAGTTATATGAAATATAATCCAACTGCACTATAGTCCAAATCCTGTTGAGATCATTAGTAATCACCTCACAGAGCTGGAGGCAAAACTACATCCATACATTTACAGACACAGCAATATATCACTGTGTATACCCTATGGGCTTTAATCAATCCCTGCAACCCAGTTCAGTCTGTTCAGTAGGTGAATATGCACATCAATCAATCACTGCCCCTCTGCTCTAATTGCTTAATTCTCTTGTTTGTGAAATCTCCCGGGACACGTCTGGAAACACATTTGAGGTAACCCATATTAAGGACAGTATGATGAAATATAGCTATACTGGTCCTGCTGTGCAAGTGGGACTAAAACATTAATTGCTTTAACAAGGGCGCATATACAGTACTAAACATGGCAAGAATTTTGTGAATTGAATTTTGTGGAGGACGTTGGAAAGATATGGCATCCAGTCAGTGTTTAGCATTAATTTTTGCCATTATCCCAAACTATCCAATTCACATTTAACAGGCTATATTCAATATTTGAGTAATTCTTTTAAAAAAACAAAAATCAGGCCAAATATGTACATGAAGATTCATTCATATATGGCCTATTGTTAATACTGTGAATACAATCTTATGTCCGTATATTCCTATATATTCCATCATCTTATTCCATATAAATGCCTTAAATACATATATATTGGCCACCCAAATATAGACCTTATAGTGATTATCTGGGAATATATTCTTCTTTTTAAACATGTATTCTAAAGTATGTGTGAGTATTTCTGCTACAGTATGTTCCAACATCAGCACCAAGTTTGTGTGTGCAATCCGGCTAAGAAAGTGTGTTATAACTATTATTGCTGCTTCTTAAATAACCGTGCGTGTTTCCCAATCAGCGCATCTTATACCGCATTACCGCGCATCTCTCAATCAACACGGCGGACTTACGTCTCTGAAGCGATTCCAGTGCTTGATCTTGCGGCTGTACTGTGAAATGGTGGACAGCCACTGCTCGTCTTCCATGAAATTCCCCGTTTTTTCCGCGTCTTTGACGCTCTTCACGTCGGTCTGGAAGGTGGACCCCGCGAGCATCACCAGTGGGACGAGAAGGCACACGATATCCGTAATTTCCACCATGGTAGCGGGACAAAAACACCTCGCACGCACCGGCTGTCGGCTCTCCTCTTCTGGGAGGGGGAGGATGCTGAGGCTGGATTGAAACTACCAACTGATTAGCCTATAGGATGCTCCTTCTGCTGCTGGGGGAGAGAGAGAGAGAGAGAGAGAGAGAGAGACTATAGTACTCTGGGTAAATCCTGGTGCTGTGTAACACTGTTTGGTATGTTTGTATCAGTACGTCACAGACTTATTTGCATTTTGATGTTGATGTTGGTGTTTACACGGTGCACCTTCAAATGTCACGTGATGCACAGCCCCCCCCCCCCCCCCCC